GATACTCCAGTTAGGAAGCTCTATACAAAGTATTGCCTCCTCTGTATTTCCTCCCAATCTTTTATAAATCCAATGAACTATGCATTTCAGTAAGATTATTGAGGGAAATTACACAAATCTGCTGACAAAATTTTTAAGCAATAAAAATACACCAATCTCCACTTTTAAAATACATTTCTAAAACAAAAGGGTCAAAACTTAGGTAAATTTCAAGTGGCTCCAATACACCTGAGTGTCACCCTCCAATCATCCCATTACAGTGGACTTAAACTGCACACCCGTAGACATTTAAACATACTTGCTAGTGGTACTGACAGGGGAAGAGACCCAACTCAGCGAAGTATTTAGTAAACATAGGTCCTTACCTTTCTTTGAAGACTTGAAGTCCTCGAACCAATCCTTCTAGACACAGGAGGTCATATCTATTGGCAGGGACATCAATTTTGTAAAGAACAACATTTGAGGCTCCCTCTGCCTTTAAGTTACCTTGTTCCTTACTTATTATTTCCTTCTCTGAAGTCTACAACAAGCCAAAAAGAAAAAGTGAGTAACAATACAGAAATTACCATGGCCCCAAAATGACTAAGCCTTGTCTAATTAAAATAAATTAAACCTGTGAAAGGAAAATTGTACACAGAGTATCTGAAAAATAAGCATATATCCAATACGTACAATTTCATCAAGTTCCAGGCCAAATTCAAAACATAGTTCATCAAATTCTTCGTCAGCTAGTAGAGAAAAAAAAAAAAAAAACTGTTAATTTTAATCTATTCAGCAAAAATGAATATTGTATGTAAATCCTATTTTCCTATTAATTCCCTTACATGAACCATTCTAAAATTCAGGTATCAGATATGACCACTTAAAAAGAAAGTAAAGACTTGCCAAAAAACTTGAAAAACCAAACCATTAATGGGATGATTATCCTAATTATCAACAATAGGATTAGGTTATCAATGCTGAGAAGTTTGCATAGACTTGTGGGAAAACAAAAGAAAAACTGTTCAGTAGAGATCAAATAGAAAACAGGCTCGAATTCACAGAGGCACTACAAAGGAATGGCACATAAATCTTATAGCTTAAAATTCTTCGGGGCAGCCGAATACTTGAATATTTGGCTTTGAAGCATTGCAATGAGGGCTCCTGCTTAAGTTCTGAGAGCTGGGCTCCTCTGTGAACTCTACAGCTGAATCCTCTGCACAGTGGTCTTTTACACCTTTAACATGGAACTGCTGGAAAGATTTCAATGAAATTAAGCAGATAAGGGACCTGGCATTGTCCCCCACAGGAATGGGTCTACAATTAATAGTTCTCTTCCTTATCCCACATGCGGTGCCACCTACCACAGCATTTTCAGATTATCAAAACTAGAACACAAACCATCATTGCCAGTGCATTTTCATAAAACACTGTCTAAGGCTCTTGAGCCAGGGCTGGGATGAGCTCAGTGTAGAGTGCATGCTTGGCATGGCTGAGGACCTGAGTTCAATTCCCAGCACCAAAACACACAACCAAACAAAAATCACTAAAATAAACACATACACAAGTTTTCTAACCCAGACACTGGACTTCTACACTCAGGAAATGCAGACACTCTACTAGATGCCAGGAATATAAGGAATAATAAAAACAATTCCTGCCTTAAATATAACTTTTTCTTCTAGCAAAGAAACCAGAAGGGTAAACTTGTTATCTTAAATGCAAGTTACAGGGAGGGCACAAAGCTCCCCTTAGAGTCATTTCTGAGAAATTATTAAAAACTTCAAATTCTGCTTAACTGAAGCTTTGCCTGCTCTCGCAGATCTGTCACTTGGAAATAAACAAAATATCACTTTGTAAGTAATCCTGAGGAAAAGTCAAAATGAAAGGACCTGACGCCTCTGGTCAAAAATCAGAAAGGAGTTAGGCCTGTGACAACCACTTAAATCAACCTAAAAGTAGATTCGTTAGTCCATGATGCCTGGAGATGAATATAGATCTGAGGGACAGCTTTGCTACAACCTGATGAGACACAAAGCCAGAACCATCACGCCCCAATTTTTGACAATCAGAAACTACAAAAAAAGTTGGGTGCATGACTTAAAAGGCTAAGGGAGGAGAATTGTGAGTTCCCAGGCCAGCCCCAATTACATACTGAGAGTCTTTCTTAAACAAGCCAAAAAAAAAAAAAAAAAAAAAAGAAAGAAAGAAAAGAAACTACACAAGATAACAAATGATTGTAGTTCTAAGACACTAAACTTAGGGATAATTTGTTGTGCAGTAATAGGCAATTAAATGATTATTAGCCAAACTGTATAAAATTATTAGAATATATTTAATCAGAATTATTGTTTTATTCCTTAAAGCTATATTTTATGTGTTGCAAAGGAGATCCAAGAATAACATTAATAATTTTCTCCACTTAACTGACACACCTTATCTCAAGGGTTTGTATACACTCAGATGGCTCTGGCAGTACTGCCAACCATTATACCAAGCCAAAATGGCCAGAATTGAAAGAGATATTAAAATTGTTAATAAGAACACGAGTGGCAAAAAAAATAGGAAAGGCAGTAAGAAGGTAGAATAACAAAACTGCTCCAAAGAAAGCAAAGACCAAATAACTACAATAATAAACAGCTAGAAAGAAAGATGGTGGTGACTGGAAAAAGATCCCAGTTTTAGGTAAACAGGAGACTGTTGGATGAATTAAAATAAGAGAATATGCACAGGAACGGCATAAGACACAATCTGAAAATAAAAACAAAGAAAAAAGAAAAGAAACAAGAGGGCTCGAAATGTTTTTCTAAACATAGTTTTCCAGCTGACACTTAAAAGGTTTCCAGAAAGACCACAATCTAAAGTAATGATGAATCTGGATGCCATGATACAAGCCTGTAATCCCAGTTACTCAAGAGGATGGAAAGTTCATGCTTAGTCTGGGCAATTTAACAAAACCCTGTTCAAAATAAAAAAACAAAGGGCATTGGGTGTTGCAAATTACTTGAGCTCAATCCACATTCCTGAAAAACTAAAATAATGAGTATTATTTCTAATTTGCCTGATGTACATCTCAATAATATCAGTCTTTTGGATTGAAATTCTCAAAAGCCCAGTAGCTAACATACGCTCTTTACAGAAAACCAAGCCAGGCATGGTGCTGCACATCTGTAATTCCAGACTTGAGAGGCTGAGGCAGCAGGATCATCTCAAGTCAGAGGCCAGTCTGGGATACATAGTGAGTTCAAGGCCACTTGAATTACACAGCATGCCCCAGTCTCAAAAAGCAAACAACAAAATCAAGCTGACTTGACCACTCACAATATGTTTAAGAAAGACAGAAAGGAAAAAAACAAAAACAAAAACAAAAAAAAAAAAAACAGGTGATAGCAGGTAGCTACAAAGCTCACAATTTAAAAAAATTTGAATCAGTTTTTACTTTCCTGACTAAGACCTGGCAACTGATTCTATGTGGGTTTGAACAACCATTTGCCACCTAACAGCTTGTGTAATTCAGGCATATTATATCCTAGTAGTAAAAGTATGGTTTACAAAAATAAGAAAATGAGCATAAAAAGTGAGTAAGAAATTAGAGCCAAGTTCAAAGCATAAGGGCATTCATTACCTTCACTCTCAAGGACTTAGAATGGAGAATAATGCTTTGAGAACAGGTGGTATCCGAAAGTATACCTTTAGGAATGTTTTTTAAGGCTAACATTATTTTCGAAGTAACAATATCTTATTCTGGCAAGCTGTACCTGTTACAAGATTGGTAAGGACTTTTTTATCTTGATATCTAATACCAAAAAAAAAAAAATAGCTCTCACAATTCACTTGCTACTGCCTTTATTGAAGCTGAACATTACGGGGTGGAGTAGATATCATTTGGACAGCTCCACGTGTCTTAGTACTTCCCTTCTTCCCCCAGGGCTATGATTTTAGAACTGAAGAAGAGACCAACTCAGAGTGAAGACAAAGCCAACTGAATAGACTCATCATTCAGATTTCGAATCCGCGTTACCATTCCTATTGAATACTCTTTTAACATCTTGCTTTTTTCCTTGATCGTTTTCTATGTCCAAAATTATCTTGTTATTGTGTTGTTTACTGTTTGCGTTACTCATCGGGATGAAAATGTGCTCCTTTCAAAGGTGTCACGCGCAGAGCCGCCTTTCCAAGTTCTTAAGAACGATGCCTGATATACACAGCACTCAATAAATAATAAACACTTGACAGACGAAACCCCATCTCCTCCCTCCCGCTCAAACTCTTTCTCTCCGCCCCTTCCAAACTGAGTTCTCACAGAGCTCAACTGTTTACAGGCGGGTGGTAACCCGAGCTTTCTTCCTATTCGGCACCCCGGTTCCAACGTTGGCGCAGTGCGCGCAAGGGGCACCCTACACTGAACGAAAGAAAAATGAATGAGTGAATGACAGGGAGCGCCAGAATGAATGAACGAACGAACGAACGAATGACACGGAGCGCGGGCACAAGCGGACGACTCAACCGTGGCCTCCACGAAGTGGCTCTGAAAAGCCGACCGCCTCGCTCATCAGTCCCAAACCACCCAAAGCCACCTGCAGCGCAGGCGGCGTGAATGCTGCCAGCATGCTATTTTGGAGGGCGTCCCAGGCCCACAGAAGAGGCGCGGACCCAAGATGCAGGGCACGCACTCACTGTAGGTCCGGCCCAGGGCTCTGAAGAGCAGATCGCGCTTCACGCTGACAGTCGGCATGGTGAATCGGGTCACTGCGCCTGCGCGGCCAGGCCGGCCCGGGAGTAGCAACAGAAAAGCGTAGGACCCCGCAGCTATTTTTACCGTCTGTCTTAAATATAGCCTGTCTGATTACAGCGACTTTTAATCCCTTTTTACACATTAGTGTAAACAGATTGAGACTCCACAGGCCAATAAATATGTTGGATTGTACTGGTAACTTAAAAGTTTAGTGAAGAGTCAAAATTACGTAAAATTATCTAGAACTTGACAGGCAATGGAATGGATAGACCTTGAAGTCCCGGATGCTACAAGCGCGCTGGGGATTGAGAAATGGGGCGGAGGACTGGGCAGGGGAGCGACGAAAGGAGTGCCAGTGACGCGTAGGTAGGCCCAGGACCGGGTTAGGGAATATTGTTTTAGTTGCTTAAAAGGACCGCATGAGGCATCCCGCTTCCTAGAAAAGAGGTAGTGCAGATACAAAGGCGGGGAGAGATCTGCCAGAACTTCTGTGTGTTGCTTGGTTTTTATTTTTGTTTTGCTCTACTGGGGAAATCCAGGGCCTTCTCACTGAGCTTCGTTTCAGCCCCACTGCTTCTAAATGTGGCTTGCCAACTGAAGGGTTCTGGGCTTCTCTCTTGTCCCTCTAGACTTAAGATTCCAGCTTCTCTCATTTAAGAATTGGACAAAATGAGCAAAAGCAGTGGCAAAGTTTATTCAAGAAAGCAAAAAGTGAAGAGTGGGGGGAAAACTGGCTCTGCAGAGCAAGCTTGGGCCGAGTAAAGAGAAAAAGAGGGTTAAAAACAAGAACAGTACTCACTGCGTTTGAGCTATCATGGAAATAGCAAACGCTTTGTGATGTTGGTGTGTCCGTTTATGCTGTCTGTATCTTGAGGAAACCTGTAAGAACTGCATACGGCTCCTGAGATGATGTGCTTGGATCCCAGGCCTTGGGCTGATGTCATATCTAGTCTACCCTATTGAAAGCTTGCTATAGTGTTCAGAAGTCCGGGTTCAGGGGTTTGGGAACTGTTCTGTGCATGTGTCTAGGGGCTTGGAATTACAGGTTTCGCCTATTTCCCCAGCCAGTTTTGCTGTGCCCTAATCTTTCTAACTTGAAGACTGTGCACAGCATTCTGAGCCTCCTGCCTCAGCTTCCTAGAGTGCTGATTACCTGTGCCATCATAGCCACACAGGCCTACATTTTTATTTCATTAATGTCTCTTACATCTGTAGCCATCTAGCTTTGTCTGAACTTCACAGCTGCCCTATATGATAGATGTTATCTGGGCCTTTTGGAAAGACTCTCTTTTCACCGCTTCTGCTATCAAATGGTGTGCTTAGCCCTCTGCCAGCACTGGCAGATTTTAACTCTCAACCCAGTGTGTTGAGTATGTCATTGAAATCAAAGAATGAATTTACAAGGAATGATGGAAGTTAAGAAAAATAAAAGTGGAAAAGATATATTAAGAAACACTCAAGAGGGGAGCATGTTAATCAAAGGAATGAGCCACACACAATTGAAAGCTGGGGAATGGGAACTAGGAATAACTCCTGAGAGACAGAAGGGGTCCTGAGTGAACTGCCCCCAAGATCATCTCTCTGGAAATATTTTATAGGTAGTCTTGAATTAGATACAACGTAGGTCAAATTGTATTCAACCAATAAGATTACAAATATAACAGTTTAGGTAATATTGATCCCAATGTGAAGCAGGGCACATAGCAAGAGCACATGGATAACATCATTAATCTTGGTTAATAATCTATAGTCTTAAAGGTCTTGTCTTTACTTTTAGCCTTAGTAGGTGGGAAAGGATGGCCCACCCCTGCTGAGATAATGATCTATTTCTATGAAAATCCCAATTACAATGTAATCTCAAACTTCCGCCTATCCCTTGGAAATACAAATCTGCTCATTATGACTTTAATCTCGAGGTCTTGCTTCAGAGGCACCTCCAGCCACAGTTTAGATGTGTTTGCAGCCTCTGCACTGACTTCCTTGAGAGCCCAGCCCCTCGCTGACTATACATTAATTTTTATCTAACTTAGTTACTCATACTTACAACAACCATGAGTGTAATAGGTTCAGTAATAACTAGCATTATACCTTGGAAATTATACTTTATGTGGAACTGGGTTCTCTGCAGACTAATGGTTTTGAGGTGGGGAGATTGTGCTGGATTGTTGAGATGGACCCTACAAGCAATCACATGCATCTTTGTATGAGGGTGGCAATGTTAAGAGTGTGATGACCACAAATCAAGGGTGCCAGCTGCCAACAGAAGCTGGAAGAAGCAGGGCCTGTTCAGCCCCTACCCTCTACGGCAGCCTTTGGTATTGGCCCCATGAAACCTAAATCCAGATTTTGGGTTTGTGACCAACAGAACTGTGAGAGAATAAACTTGTTCTAAATTTAAAAGTTTGTGAGAAGTCATTTCAGCCACAGGAAACATGTACCACAGTTGGCATTAATACTGTCCCCGTTTACAAATACTGAAAACTTAGGCACGAACTATGGTAATCACCCAACCTGTGAGGCAGAGTTGAAGTGGTTCTACAGGTAAGCCCTAATCCTATGATATACACTGTACAGTGAATGAAGTCCCTCAAGGCCTTTCACTAAAGGAGACAGAAATTGGCTAGGGTTTAGGTTACCCTAATTTTTAACCAAGCACTGTATTAGTTTCCCTTCACAGAGGGAATCCATTCCCAATTACCAACATAAAATATTGACACCATTCTATAAATAGCAAACTTCCTCTATTACTATGCAGTTTTGTACCTGAACTTGGTTTTTTACTCAGTTCATGAATAAAAGACTTCCTTTGAGCGCACAAAGTGTTCTCTGTCCTCTGAACTTCAGTTTCCTCATCTATAAAAGAGGTAATACACACCTTAGAGAATTACTTCGAGGGTTAGAATCAAGTCTCATTAATACCTAGTATAGTTCCAATCATGTCATCAGTCTTGGACATAGGGCAGCTGCCATTATTTTTATCCATCCTCTAGCTTCTGGCTAGTCTGAGACTACTGAGGAACATTCTGCTTCCATCTCCTTCATTGCTCAACTCATCCATCCTGCTTTTTATCATTACTTATGTTACACGTGTTCTGTGACTAGCTAAACTCTTAGAAAATTGGAAAATGGGGGGCTGGAGGTTTAGCTCAGCGGCATAAGCACCTGCCTTGGAAGCAGGCAGTCGTGAGTTCCATCCCCGGTACCGATAAAAAGGAAAAAGACAAAAAAAAAAAGAAAATTGGAAAATGTTGAGATAATATATCACAAAATGCACATAGATGTGCTTCTTTTTGTCTAATTTTAGGGCTAACCTGAAAGCAAGAATGAGTTGGCAGCATTTCCTAGAAATGAAACCATCTAGATAATAAACATGAAAAAAATTAAGTAAAAATTGATAAATGCAAATTGTAAGGAAATACACTTTTATACCCACTAAACTGATAAAAATCAGAAAGTCTCACAAGATCAGATGTGTGTAAAAATGTGGCAGTAAAAATCGATGCAGCCACTTTGGAAAATATATCTTTACCTAAAAAGGGGGGAAGGTAATCATACCCAACAATCACACTCTTAAGAATACTTTCCAGAGAAACTCTTTAGTATACCAGAAGTCCCAAATAAAAGGGATATGGTTACATTGTTCACTTTAACAAAAATCCAGAAATAATTCCACTAGTACTAGAGAAGGTGAACAATTATGATAAATTCATACAGTAAAGTACCACACAGTGGTGAAAATTAGCTATGGATACATTTACTTGTTTGATAAATCATGATACTGAGAAAAAATTAAATTACAAAGATATGTACACTATGTTACCATCCTATAACATTGAAAATAGGCTGATTGTATTTCAGAGCTACAATGTTTCCCAAAGGCCCATAGTCCCCACTTTGACACTATTCTGCGATAGTGGAAACTTTGAGCTCAAAGCCGGAGGCTTTCATGACATCCCCCATCTCTTCCCTCTCTCTTGCTTCCAGACCATGAGGGCAATGCCTCTTCTCTGCCCCATGCTCATGCCATGACGTGCTGCCACAAGACAAAACTACACCTAATGGAAGCACATAATGGACTGAAGCTCTGAATTCATGAGCCAAAATGAATTTTTTATCCATTATTTCAGGTATTTGTTATAGTTAAGGAAAGCTAGAACACCAACCTGAATATCATGCAGCTAAGCAAATAGAAATAAAATTGTAAAACTGTTAGAAAAAACAAGAAATGACAAAACATGAGACTAGTTCTCAGTGAGACACAAGGAATGGAGCTGGTACAGTGAGATACATGTATCAGGGTTCTCCAGTGAGCTATAATCATAGGGAGGGAGGGATGGATGGATGGATGGATGGGTAGGTGGATGGATGTTATAATGTATTGGTCTATTCAGTCATGGAGACTGAGAAGCCCCACAATTTCTGCCTACAAACTGGAGACCCAGGAAAGTGGATGAGCTGGTTTGAAGGCCCAAGAGCTGGAGAGTTAATGCTATTGGTGCTTTCTGATTGCCTGAGAACCAGGAACAGTGAGGAAAAAGATGTATGTCTTTTTTCAGACAGGCAGAGTGAATTCAAACTTCTTGCACATTTTTCTTTTATCTAGGCCCTTGGTAGAGTGAATGATTTCCAACTACACTGGAAAATTCCATCACCCTCCTGAGTCCTGGGAATACAGATGTGTGCCACCACGCCCGCTGATGCCTGACTTTTTGGTGATTTATTGCATCTTGTTTACCAGTGTCTTGTTGAGAAATTTTTGTATCTATGTTTATTAAAGAGATTGGCCTGTAGTTCTCTTTTTTGGTTGAGCCCTTTTCTGGTTTGGGAATCAGGGTAATTCTAGCTCCCAGGAATGATTTTTGGGAGTACTCCTTCCCTTTCAGTTTCATTAAAGAGTTTGAGAAGCATTGGCATTGGACCTTTCTTAAAGTTCTCGTCAAATTTGGCAGTGAATCCATAGAGACCTCAGCTTTTCTTTAGTTGATAGGATTTTTTAAATTGTTTTTTAATCTCATTGACTGATACTGGATTATTCAGGCTTTTTACACGTCTTCTTGGTTCAGCTCTAGGAATTCGTGTGTATCTCGGCGTCTACCCATTTCTTCTGAATTCTCCATTTTATTAGAGTACACATTTTCAAAGTCGTTAATAATCTAGGTTTTGACACAGTCCATTGTGATTCTACGTTTCTCATCTAATTGCATGGATTAGTGTCTTTCTTTTATGGTAGGATTGGCCAGGGTTGTCTTATTAATTCTTTCAAAAATCAGCTGTTCGATTCAATGATTTTTTGTATTTCTTTTTTACACTTAATTTTATCAGTTTCTTCTCTGAACTTTGTAATCTCTTAGCTTTGGATTTGAACTGCTTTTGTTCTTCTAGGACCTTGGGGTAAGTGATTAGGTTACTTATCTGGACTTGCTCTGTGATGTGATCTGACCTAAGCTACAGACTTTCCTTCTAGGATTGCTTGGCATAAGTTCCAGTGTGTCACACTGTCACATAGTTATTTGATTGCAGTAAATGTCTTAATTTCTTCATTAATTTCATTATGACTGATGGATTACTCAAGAAGGTGTTTTTTCATTTCCATTGCATTGGCCTAATTTCTGTGGTTTCTTTTGCCCAATAATAGTTTCATTATACTGTGGCCTGATAATATGTGTGGGATACTTTCAGCTTTTTGCATTCATGTGAGCTCACATGTGGTCTATTGTAGAGAAAGTCCCACGAGCACTGAAACTGCTCATTCTGTGGTTGGGGGGAACATTTCATAGATATCTATTATGTCTGTTTATTTCAAGATTTAATTCAACTTGGATATTTGTTGGGGTTTTTTGTGTGTAGTTGATCTATGTGTTTGGGACAGTGTGGAATTGAGCTCCCACGTTATAACTGAGTTGGTGCTTATCTGATCTTTGTTGGTATTGTTTGTTTTATGAACTTGGATGTGCTGGTTTTGTTAACCCAATTCCTTTCCCCTCATTTCTGTCTTCTATCTGGTTTTGATTACAGAAACTTGGCACAGTCCACCTAGAATTTTCGCTCTTGGGCAGAGGGCAAACATGAAAGTCATGATATTAAGACAATGGGATCCTCTATTCATTTTAGTGGATTGGGCCAGGAATGGACATGTGATCCAAGCTAGATTTTGGACTTGTAGTCTCAGGAACTGGACTTTTATTTAAGATATGGTGAAATCTATAAGGTGCAAATGTGATGTTCTTTGCAGCCATGGTCTCACCTCTGGAAAAAAGTATTATGTGGGCTAGAGATGTAGTCCAGTGGTAGAGCTCTTCTCTAGTACGTATGAGGCACTGGGTTTACAGCACTGAAAACAAACCAGGTCAAACAAATATAGGAAAAATCAAACTAATTTTCCCTAAGAGACAAGGGCTCTGACAGTAACCGAGAAGAGAGGGGAGAGAGAGATGTAAAGTCATTTAAATCTATGGTTGTTTTTGAGATTCGGATGACTCCTTCCTCTTCTTAAAATTTGGTTTCTCAAAAGAAGGCAGTCATTTCATCATAACGCCTAGAGGTTTCTTATCAAGTAAAGATATGTATGTGGCTTGTGGTTTTGGAGGTTCAAGTTCAAGATGGGGCTGCTTCATTTGTTTGCTTCTCCAGGGAAGGCACGGAAGTGCTGCATGCAGAGCTAAGAGGTCACATCTTCAACCAGAAGGTGAAACGAATAGACAGGGTCCCACGGTCCCCTTAGACAGTGTGCCCCCGATATCTAAGGATCTTCTACCAGGCCCTACCTCTTCACGGTCCACAGCACCCCAACAGCATCAGCCTGGTGACCAAGACTTTACTATATGAACCTTTGGGAAACACTCATTCAAATTACCTCGTGTTGTGGGAAATTAATTAGAAGTGATACTGTAGAAGCTAAACATGACAGGAGACAAGATAGGACTTTGCAGAAATACAAAAGAGGAAAATCGCAGCAGCTAGGACTCAGGAAGTGGCACGTGTTGAAACAAGAAGTAATAATAATAGACCCACAAAATTAATGGATCACAGACCTGCTAGCCATAAACAACCAGAAAGGCAGAAACATGAATTCAAGCCCATGTACTACACTGGGCTTAGTCCATTTGGGCTGCTATAGCAATATGCCAGAGACTAGATGGCCTACGAACGGCAGAGATTTATTTCTCATAGTCGGAGAGTCTGGGAAGCCCAAGACCAGGGCGCCAGCATCATGTGGTTCTGGTGAGTGCCCTTTCTTATCTTTCAGAGACCTGTATTCTTACTGGGCACTGAGGGCAGAAAGAAAGGTGAGCTCTCCTGGTCCTATTTGCTGAGGGCACTAATTGTATTCATGTGGGCTGTGTTCTTATGCTCTAGTTACATCACAAAGACTTCCACCTTTTATCACCCACACTCAGTGGTGAGGACTTCTGTCTGTGAATTTGAAGCCACACAACCATTCGGACCCTAGTGTGGATCGTCTCAGAAGCTGAAACTAATGAGAGAGACTGCTTTGCCCCACTCCCTGGGACATTGCTGTCTGAGTGAAGAGCGGGCCCCTGGCCAGGCCAGTGGCAGTAGGCCTTCTCAGTCACTTCCTTCTGATGCCTTCCTTGACTCGGTTGCTGGTACCCCATGTAGATTTCCAGGCCAAATGGGGAAGAGAGTGATTACTATAATAATTTCTAAGTCATGGCTCACAGTGTTGTAATATATAATTTAGAACAGCAATTATGGAAGCACATAATTTGTATGGCAGATGTCACATATTAACATAAATGCTCTCACAGAAAGGTAACAGTTGAAGCTAGATTTATGAGCTTTCCAAAGAGGTTGTGAGAGGAAAGAGGGAAGGAATGGTACCCAAGGTCTGAGGACTTACAAGTGCTTATAACAATGCCATGGGCAGGTAGGGACAACTCGAACCCTGACCCCTGCCAGTCTACCTGAGCCCTGTCGGGGAAGGCTGAAACAGTTAACCAGGAAAACAATAAAAGAAGTAGAGTTGTCAGAGCAAATTTCTTGAACTTTGCTCCAAAGAGCCTTGAAACCAGAATTCTTTAAAGGGCATTTCCCTGAAACTGTTTGACTTTCACAAGGGCTAGTCATTCTCAACAATTTGTGCTAACCAGGGGCGCTGAATGTGATGTACCTGTGCATACATGCATCTGACCAGAAAACAGTATTTATTTTCATGATTAATGTGTTTGATGAAAATCAGAGTATCCCTTCTAAGGATTCTCTCTCTAGAAAAATGCCATTTCCTTCTTAATTTAAGCAATGGTAAAATGTTATGCTTCACAAATACTTGAAGTTTTCTTCTTGCTAGAAGACGTTAGCTATGGTGAACTGCACTAGAGAAAAAAACAAGGAAGTGTTTTTCCAAAACCAGACTTTCATGATCTATGTGGCAATTTGAACTATCACTGTCTTACTCCTTAATCAAAAGCTGGGAAGTTGCGAAACTGTTTTGAGTTGGAATCCCAGAATCTTTGGGGAAGACTGTGTTGGCTTCTCTCCAGGACTCACCACAGCAACGGGGCTTGCTGGTTGCTGAATTACTGTAAATCTACTTGGGTGAATGCCTTCACAGCTAGCCAAAGCCAGAAACATAGGAACAAAGCTGACCCTTCTGCTGCATCGATCATTTGCTAAAGAGTTCATTGATCGTTTTCTGTCTTCAATAATTTGTTTCTTTGTTTCAACAATCTCATCCTTCCTTAATAGTTGAGAAATATCTCAGGGGGGCAGCTACTTCTTCAGGCTGTAAAAAAGCAATTGTGTTTTCAAAAACCAGTTCTATTCCCTATTATGAGAACAATTTGATTCATAGGCTCCTTTTCTTCTTAACAAAGGGAGTAATAGTGTCTCCCCTGGAGAACTTTTGTGGGGTTGAAACCGTACAGGGCACATAAAGCATGTACCTGGGATCCGAAAAGCACTCAGTGATGTTAGTATACGTGGTTTCAAACTCCAAGCCTGTTCCAACTTTGTATTCCTCCAAATACTGTTTGCAAAAACAAGACCAAAACACAAAGAGCAAAACAGCAGTTTCCAAACTGGCTTTTGCTGAACCTCAGACATTCTGTTTTGAGCTGTTTTATTTTGACTTTATTTGGCTAAAACAGTGTCACCTTAGAAAAGGGGAAGATATGAAACAGGTGAGAGTCAGGTGCCCTGTCCTATCTGTTTTGGTGAGTTTTGTAAATGGGAGGGCTTTGTGATTTAAACAAATCACTTGAGAGACATCTGAAACTATAATCTTACCCTGCAGTGCTCCCCTATTGTGTTACTCTTGATGATGAGCGCTGGTTGTATAGTTTTGTAGAGATCTAGTTTTGCTCCCAGACCAATATGTGCTGATCTGTTTTGGGCACAGCACTCATCTTCGGTACTCAGTTCCCTATTTGGATGTTATCCTGATTTTTTAAAAAATCAGATATTTGGCATAAGCACCTGCGTTGCAAACAGGCGGTCGTGAGTTCGATCCCTGGTACTGATAAAAATGAAAAAGACAAAAAAAAAGATCAGATATTTTATATAGTCATAGTAATAATATTCAGCATAGGGAATTTGTACCTGTATGTGATTTTTCTTGCTTCTTTTTTTCCATGCCCTTCCCCTCCCTTCAACCTCGTTCTCCTTCCTTATTTACAAAATCTTTGTGTCTACTTTTCCTTTTTATTCTTTCTTTTCTTATCCTTCCTTTACTTCCCCACCCCCTCCCTTTTTCCCCTTCTCATTTGAACAGTTTCTTCCCATTTCTCAGTAATTATTGTACATTTTACTCTTTATTTATACTTGTGGTTTCTCACAACAGAGAGAAAATATGCTATTTAAACGTGTGTCTAATTTATTTCATTTAAAATATGGCCTCAAGGTACATCCATTTAGCTAGAAATGTCTCAGGGTTATCCTTTTTATGGCAGAATAGCATTCTACTGTGTAAATTAGCCAACATCTTCTTTATCCATTCATCAATTGATGGGCATCTGGGCTGTTTCTAAGGTTTAGCTATTACAAACTATGCTGCTAGAAACATAGGTGTGTATATATCACTGTGGTATGACGCTTTTAGTTCTTTTCAAAGTTACCAAGAAGGAGAATAGTTGGGTCAAATGGAACCTCTAGTCCTAGATTTTTGAGGAATCTGAACACTGATTTCCATGGTGGTTGCACCAGTCCAACACTGGAGAAGGGTTCCTTTTTCCCCACCAACCCCACCAGCATTTGTTACTGGTTGATTTCTTGATGATAGCCATTGTTTCTAGAGGGAGATGGAATCTCAGTGTTGTTTTAATTTGCATTTCTCAAGGGTTCAATGATGTTGAACATTTTTTAATATATTTACTTGCTGTTTCTAATTCTTCATCTGAAAAAAGCCTTTTCATTTCAAGTTGATTTTTAGACTGGGACTTAAATTCATGGGGTCTGATTCTTTTGGGTTCTTTATATATTTTCAGTATTAGTTCTTTGTCTGAGGAACAGCTGACAAAATGTTTCCCAGTTGTCAATTCATTGTAATATTTCCTTTGAGATCAGTGTTTTGTTGGCCCCTCTTCAAGATGGCTTCTGGCCAACTGCTGTCTCCTGTAGGACATCTGAACCTGAATAACTCACTGGCCACTGAAGTCTGCTGTGTCCACTGCTCTATTCCACCAGGGTGTTTCTCTGTGGAGGCCTCTGGGGTCACCAGTAGTTACCATGTGTGAGCTGCCCCTCCCACCCAGTGAATCAGGGCTCAAGGAGAAAGTGCCACTTGCCACCTCCTTCTTCTTTGTTGAATTCTCTCTCTTCTCCTGTTAGTTCTAACTCTAGAGATTAATGAAGACTTACATAGAAAAACTGGTGCAAATAGCTTGAAGCATTAAAATTTCTCACTTCAAACCAGTCCTCATTTAACTCCAGTAGCCTGGCAGACGCTGTCTGCACCCACTGAAGGTTAGAAGAATGAGCAAATGATTGAATTGTTTATTAAAATCAAGATGGATTGCTGCACAGAATAGATTCTGGTGAGTCTGTGCTTGACTTCATTAGATTGTGATGAGCCATGAGGATTCTTTTCTGCCAGCTGAATGCTCTGAGAAAGTGACAAAAGCATCATTAACTGCACTCCAAGACATTAGTATTGGGAGTTTGAAATGTTTTGCTGTCATTATCTGAAAACAGATAAGAATCCAGTGATAGACCAGTCCTACCATTTATATCTGCCATGTACATTCAAATCTGTCTCTGTTCTCCTTAGCTTTCAAGCAGGCTAAGCCGCCATCCTCTGCACTCATCCTGCAGCAGCTCCCCGGGGCTCTCTCCCTTTACTCGTGTTACTTCCACTGTATTCCAAATAGCTGTCCACTATACTGTATCGATGGAGGCCTATATGCTTATTTCAGGGCATGATTGTACATTTGTTTGCACAGATAATTATTTTCTTTTCTCCAACTAGACTGTGAGTCCAGGAAAGAGGCCTTTCTTAGTGCTCTTATAGTCCCCTCTTTACTCAGTCTAGCACACAGAAGCCTTTCTACAAGTAGTCAATGAATTAACGTGTGTGAATTCTCAAAGGCGCGACACTGTATCTGAACTCACTTTTCTTTCATCAGCACCAAGAACATAATGCCCAGATATCCGATAAATATTTGTTCTAGGATTAATTTAGTGGATGAATAGGTGACTGATCTCTCCAGGTTACATAAAACTGCATTTGAACCTCCTTTATCTGTTGGCAGCTTTGTGATTCTAATCTCTGATTTCTATAGCTGCAAAACTGCAATTAATGCTTATTGTGTTGGGTTCCTAAGAATGATATCAGCCTTAGGAAGGACTCTCTTCAGTACTGGACATAGTGTATATTCACAAATGTCAATTCACAGTGCTTTCACATGCAGTGCAGGTTCAGAGAAGAAATCTAAAACAGTGAAAGCCAGGCATGGCAAGCTGGCCTGTCGTCCCAACACTCCAGGAGGCTGAGGCAGAGGATCACAAGTCTGAGCCCAGCCTGGGTTTGTAATAACTTAGTGAGACCTCAAAAAACATTTAAAAAGGACTGGAGACCCAGCCTAGTGTGAAGGCTGGAGGTTCACTCTTCAGTACCACCAGGAGAAAGGGATGTGGAAATAAAATAAGAGGAGAAGGAGGAGGAGATAGGAGGAACAAAAAGAAGAAAGAAGAGGAAGAAGAGATTCTTCAACAAAAAACACCAAACAAGTTTTGCACACAGAGCTGAACAAATAATCTCCCTCTTGCTTCCCTTTGCCATTTAGTCCCCTAAATTACCGTAACTGTTAACTGACAAGTAAAGGGAACCTCTTCAGCTGCCCCCCCCACCTCGTCTGTCTAGGTCCTAGAATCTTCTGGTCACACACAGCAGAGTCTCACCTGTGCACACAGGTGGTCCCTTACTCTGCTTGTTCCTCCCAGCAACTGCAGTGCTGAGAAGGACAGGGCAAATGACTTGCCTGAAGTTCTCACAGAAAGCTGCATGGGCATGAAGTGTCCTGTAGGCTGCTTGGCCTTGGAGGGCTAGATTGTGGAGACATGGGATGCCACAGGTCAAGAACCAAAATTATGATTGGCTATTTTAGTTCTTTAATAGCCATTTACCTTCTATCTGACTTAACAGCCTTATAACTAGTGAACTTTGGGGATAGGTCACTCAACTTGGCTGACTTCTAGTCACCATCAGCCCTAAAGCTAAGAACCCTGTAACCCTGAAATCAAGGGAGAGGCCCCACTCTGCCACACTCCCTGCAAGTACTTGGTGAATGTATTGATTTATGACTTTCTTTTTTTCAACAGCTATAAAAGTGT